CAACGAGTTGAAATGATTGTGATTGTTCTTGTTGTTCTATGGAGGTGGAGGGAGGTCGGCAGTAAGGCAGCAGCTAGAGCTCGGACCACACGGCTTAGTCAGCCGTGTAATCCAAGCTCGTGCATGCAGCAACCAGCTGCCTTATCTACCGCAGGTTCGATTCCCAACACCTTGGGTCATCGTTATTATAACGGTGTCGGCGCAGAAACACAAAACTGTTGTGTCTTTCGTGATAAACTAGCCAATTCTCGTTGCTGCTAAGGAGAACATCTGGCCTAGGGATCCCGATCTGCTTTGTGATGACAATCTCGCCTATCATACTCTTGGTTGATAAACTGAAACTATACCCCCCGGCAGCATTTTTGAAGCATGAAAGTATACGACCACTAGAGGTACTGAGGAAGAAGTCATCTTCAGCCGCGATAAGTGATGTGAAAGTGCGCTAAGTTGACAGCCACCCTGTTTTTATCGGCAGATTGTACGTGCCAACAATCGATCGAGTCTCTGGATTGTACACTTCTAGAAAACGCCCATTAATAACGAATGCATAATTTGTGCTACCGTATGCAGACAGGCGAATGTCTCCTAGACAGGTTTGAGGTTGATGATCTGAGAAGCCGTCTCTTTCGCTGCTTGTACAATCGTCTCCATAATCGTCTCCATAATCGTCATCGGACACCAATGTTTCGGCCTCGCTATCATATACTAATATATCTGCCTCACTATTAGACACAGATGTATCTGTATAATTATCTAAATCGTCCACAGAATTACTACTAAAACTCTTTTCAGAACCGCTCTCTTCTGCCATGATGAAACTGAGTGGAATATAGAGACTGAATTAGCTGGCAACATGTCTTGACTTCTACCCTATTTAAGGCATGACACTAAGATATTGATGACATAAGGTCCTTACCATCTTACAGATTACGTGATATCGGTGACATAATGATGACATCAGCGAGAACGATATAGATCGAATTGATCGAATTAATTAAGATCTATGATAGTTGGGATGACACCGATCAGATTCGTTCAAGAGTGGGATCATTGATTGCTCTAAGGATCAGAAAGATCAGACGGCTGGTCCGGTATTTGTACATGATGGATCAGTCCCTTGGCACGGATCCGGAGTCTCAAAGACCCGATCCGATCACGTGATCATCCGACGTCCAACATCAAGTCCATTTCCGCGACAAGATCTAAACAATCTAAGACGCAGAAGCCGTATGGACAATTAATAGAGCCTAACCTAGCCTTCTACAGTCGCTAGTGATTACGGCTTCACCCCTACGCACAGCCGCGCAACGGTTTCAAGCAGCACCGCCTTCCGTATATGGCTTAGCGTTAGACATCCAAAGCAGTCGATTTGACTGGCTAAATGTAGGGCTAATGATGACTGCACCTTTAGAACACTATCTGCAAGGGTGAAGCCGCAATCGCTAACTACTGTAGTACAGTTATTAGCGATTGCGACTTCACCCTGCAGACATCTAGCACTAAGCTATGTACAGAAGGTGGGACTGTACAGAACCGTTGCGCATCTACGTGTAAGGGTGAAGCCGTAATCGCTAATGTACAAGTCCAGTTCGCTTTAGTTGCTCGTACATGCCCACTTGGGAAGTGTAAGCAGCTTACTAATAAGCAGACGCGCCATTACAGCACAGTTCTTTTCGTGCAGCTTTGTGTCAAGTCGCTGGATTCTGCAGAGTGCTTGCGGTCCTCATTGAGTCATGTCGCGGTCAGCCTCGTGCGCCAAAGGATGGCTCAGCGGTGGAAGAGAATGCAGAGCAGTAGTTGGTCTGTGTGTTGCCAGTGATCGCAGCTTCCTAGTGGCCAGAGAACTCACAGTCCGCAACAATCAATTAAGTGGGTCCTAGAAGGTTCAGATTGGATTGATTGATTACCGCTTTAAGCCTAGTAGTTACCTATAGGAGTTTAAGCCCTACCTAGATAGGTAAGTGGGTCTAGGAGAGTGACCGGATTGAATTGATTGTTGCGGAGTCTAAGAGAACTAGACCGTTTTGTACAGTCATTAGCGATTGAGGCTTCACCCCTACGTGCAGCCGCACAACGGTTTTAAGCAGCCTTGCCTTCTGTACATGGCTTGTCGTTAGACGTCCGCTGCTTAATTAATGTGAATGCTCTTCGACCCTTAAACTTTCATAGTCTCCACGTCCCTAGTTTCCAAATCTACTAATGTCGGAGGGATTTAGTTCAAAAGACGAGTACAACCAAAATGGGTGTTTTCAGTATAAGTGGCACGAGGCAAACGCCTTCAAGATCCTCTTGTCAGGCACTTATAAGAGATCGATGACTTTAAGGCAACTGCACCTCGCTGCAGAAGAGGCGGCCCCGAAGCTTGACAAAAAACAGCTCAGTGTGGTTATTCATCACCTAAAAGAGTCGTTAGCATTACGTCAGAACTACTCTCTACGCTTCCGCCATGCTCCGTTGCAGCACCGGCGCGGGCATGACTTCTGGTCCGGGCTAATTCAACACATCATCGACTTTGCCAATCCACACGCTCCAGATGAGGAAAGAACCGAAGAATTTGAGGACGTCGATATGACCGCCGGCAAAGCCACCTTCCTTCGCTTCCTTGAAGACATTGAATCGTGCGTTGCTCAGGCAGAAGATCTTTGGCGGCGGGTTGCGAAGGGGAAGGCGCATATATCAACAGCTTCAATACGTTTGTTCCCCCCTCTACGCGGCAAAACTGTTTTGCTGACTACTTTACAAAGTGACAAAGACATGCCTCTGTACAGTTACATCTATGGTCAACGCGGAAATGCTCCTTAACCCGTCCTGGTTCACGAAAGATCGACTGGCTGCACATGTATCAGCGGACGGCTTCCCGTACTGGACTGAGCTGCGAGCTTGTGTCTACAATATTGACGATATCTTCATGAAAGTGGTGTAGGTCGCCGCCAGCCCTATGCGAGCTTCTACTACGGAAACTAACACCATCTTAGACCACCAATATTCTTGTCAGGAACGCCCTTCTCCAATGCGCCACTTCTCACACAAATGCTGGTGAAAGTCAAAGAGCTGCATCATTCTATGATAATTTCCGAGGTTCCCTTCATCGCTGCCGTAGCAGCCTCTCTGGCTGCCCGATGCTCTAATTTGGGCCTTTCCACTGAGAATCTCTGCTCGCCCGTCCACATGCAGATCATTTCTACGGATGTCATATTAGCAAGGCATGCAGAGACCTACAAAGATACCACCAATACAATACATGATATCTTACGGGACATGAAAAGTATCAAAACTTGGGCAGCAACATGTCACGACGCTATAAGCTTTGGCCAAATAATGAGCTGGCTCAGAATCCGCCACGTCCTTTGCGTCCGACTATTCGTACACGACAGCAGCCTTCTTCAGCTTTTTGCCTACATATGTGAGCGCACACGAATCAACGGCAAACCTCTGCACCCCGTTCTGGAAGGATTGTTCAATGACCGAAGGATCACTGGCTTTCTCTTCCTCGACGGGCGACCGAAGAATCTTGGAGACTGTGTTCGGGGCATTGAGAGGTGGTCCGACCCCAAAGGAATGCTCGACAATCTCGAGCTTACCCAGGACATCTTTGGGGCAAGATATAAACCTACTGTGGCCCAGCAGATTTTCGAAGGAAGAGGTGGCGCGACGCATGCCATAATAGAGCAACTAAATGGGAGATCACTGGAAGAATACCTGGACTGGGAGCTCGAGCCCCCTGACCCAATGCGCCTTGAAGCGATTCTGATCAGCACGATCAGGAATGACATGGGTAATGACTCGATCAAACTCGAATTCGATGCAGGTATCTGGTATCATCTCCGATACAAAATACTTTATCAAGAGGGATTGGAGAAGCAGCTCCTTCAGAGTTTTATGAAAAGATACGCACTAGACGACTCAAAAACAGAGGCCTAGAGGTATGTTGATATCATAAGGGTATGGACAGTGAGCAGACCCCCTTAAATGATTGTTCTCCTTCAGTTCGCTGTTTGTAAATCTCCAGCGGTGGTTTGTGCTTAGCGACTCATGAGATATGTCTCCCTTGCGCTGTACAAGATGGTGCAAATCGTAAACAGGCATACCGCCAGCACGGGCCTCGCCATAGGATAGGAAATGACCCTTCATTATCCTACGCCCTGTGCTCTTATTCTCCATCGCTGCCGCCCTCCCGGTATCGATGAATGCTTGTGCATGTGGTGATGGCGCCTCCCCGCGAGGTATCCCAAGTGTCTTCACAAGTCGCGCAAGCGCAACTAGGAATAGTGTGCCATAGTCGAAGACGATGTTATAGATTCCCTCCGCGTAGAGAAGGCGGCCGTGGTGCTGTCGCTGTCCTTCCAGTGGCGATAGCCAAATCAATCGACTGGCTGAGGACCCTCAGGACGCCGTACTCTTGAACCAGGCTAGGTCCATGGCTGCAGCTTGTCCCCGTTATTGCGGACCTTGACTTGAACGGCGAGGCGCTGCGTGAATACGCGACGACGGTATTCAATAAGGGCGGCGGCATCTACGTAGACATGGCCGTGATATGGGTACAAATATAAGGTGGGCTGTTTCTCCATGAGGCTGTTGTGGAAGGCGACGTTCGCGCGTGAGGGAATCGTGTGTCTGTTGGGGAGGGGAAGCGCGGCGCAAGGGCGTGGGCGAGATGCGGCAGCCCTTGGTAGAGCGTGGAAGCTGTCAGAGCCGTAGGCCTGAGTGATAGTTCAACCATTGCCCATTACCTGATTAGGCCTAGCTCATGTCTGCCTGGCACTCACCTGCTACTATATAGACCTGTAGTTCCCCCACGAATACGATCACCATGACTTTCCCATACCACCTCCATTGACAGAAGCGAAAGCGGCGACGACAGCGAGCGCACACGTTAGCGTATGGGTAGTTGAAAAGAAACGACAAGCAATAGGCGACTGGTGCGTTGAGGCTGATCGATGGTGGAAACGTCGAGTGTGGGGGCGTTGCGTGAGTGCTGGCTTAAGCGTCTGACGTGATTACCGGTACAGTGCCCGTGCGCGTGATGAGCCACATCCCACATTCAGTCCGCATTATAGAAACGAAGCTATTGAGCCATACTACAAAGCTGTTATCGCAACATGTTTTAGTATATTACTGTGTAGAGGTATACGCATCTTTTGCGCACATGAGTTTTGCAGTTTCTTGATTGACGCCCGCGCATGCTAGTTTTGGGTGGAGGAGACGGCGTCGCGGGTGCAGCGTCAGCTTGATTTGCGATACGCTCACCTTCCAGATGGGGGTAATGGACGACCACCAGACATCAGAGAGGCTTTCTAAGGTGATTACAGAGAGCTCTATCATGCTAGTTTCGCTCCTGCGATCTGAGTGCTCTTCCAGATCCCGTTCGCTTCCAACTACTTCTACAACTTCGGGCTGGGCCTCCCCAAGCTCAGCATGCTGGCGTTTTGCTGGGCTTATTTTGATCTCGGGCAGAAGGCCAAGCTGCATAGATTGCTTTGGATCACGACCACCTTCATCGTTGTCTGCTACCTAACCACGCTCTACGATGATACCTTCTCATGCGGCCGTGTCGTCTCAGTGCAGTGGTCCTAAGCGATCGTCGAGTTGTGGCCTCTCCAGACCTTCTATGCTCTGCTGTCCTCCGACTTGTCTTTTCAGTGCTTCCACCATCTTAGCTGATTCGATGTTCCCTCTTGGCGACGTCGCGAGGCTACTCTATATTGTACAATACTATAGGTGTCAATTAAGACCTATAGATCCCACCACTAAAAAAAACATCGCGATAATAGATAATTCAAGTTGTGAAACTCCGTCACGCACGGTAGTCGGCAGGCGATGGCTGTCCTGTGACGACCCCGCTTGCAGGCTTTTGCTCCTGTTGACCGTTGCAAAGAGAGAGGCTTGCGCTTACATAAAAGCCCCGCGCGATTCCACGGACATGCAGGAACCTGGTCTACCCTTGTCTACGCTATGGCGTATACGAAAAGGTGAGCGAGGCAAGCGCAGTTCCACTTCGGAAGCGTAAGCTGCTTACTGCCAAGCAGACGCACCATCGCGGCACGGTTCTTGTCGCGGCAGCCTTGCGCCGAGCCGACGAATCCTTCAAAGTGCTTACGCTCGTCATCGAGTCATGTCGCGGTCAGCCTCGCTAGTAACGCGAGACAGGCACAGCAGCCTTGCTACCCTGGTTCGGTGGTTTCTACGCTGAGAACGAGACAGTATAGTGATTAGTGATTGCGGCTTCACCCCTACACACAGATGCGCAACGGTTTTGCACAGCCCCACCTTCTGTACATGGCTTAGCACTAGATGTCGGCTGCAGAATAGTCCATATGATTGGGCATTCTCAATATAGTAATAACTAGAATTTGAGAATAGTTAACTGTAGGGGTGAAGCCGCAATCGCTAATCACTGTACTAGCGTCCGGGGTCGGCACCTCACCGTTGCGGCGACTGCAGCTCTATAAACGAATGCCGTTGACACGGCAAAGGTGTCGAATATCACTGTCGTTGTAACGAACAAAGTATATAATATTTGATTAGTAGTGAGCAAGAGCTGGGTGGAGAGATCTCCCTATGTAAGGGTGCGAGCTAAGCGGAAAGCTTGGTCTAACCCGTGGTCCAAGCTTCCCGCCCAGAAAAGCTCGCTATCTAACATACATCCACGCCGGGCTGGCTGTACGCACATGTCCCAACAAACGTTATCATCAAAAGATATTACATAGCAGACTCTAATAGCTAGCATACTTAATGAACGAATAGCGTTATAGGTATTCTAGTCCTAACTATTACTGTGAACGGTCTGTAGGGACTGTATTCCAGCTACCTAGTCCAGATGCTATTTACAGTCAAGATGAAGAAAGAAGGTAAGACGCAAGCGGCGAGCCTGCTTTGTTTGGGTTGGCGCACGGCCCTCACGTTGCCGGGGAAGCGACTAGGCTAGCAGCCTAGTCATGTGACTCGAGGCTCAGCCCGTTACATTACCCCCCTCCTTTCCCTTTAGCGCGTAGTTTTCTCCATTTCCTCCAAGCGTCAGTCTTTAGTACGTTACTCACAGGTTCCCATGTCGGTTCAGTATAGTCCACCCACTTCACATATGCCTCCTTGATTTCTTTCCCTCCCTGCCTTGTTGTGCGTTCGCCCAGAATACGTTCAACCAGCCATAGCTCGTCTCCATCTACAAGTATAGGCCCTGGCTGAGTGTCTCCAACCTTCTGCGATGGGAGAGAGTCGTTAGGCGCGTAGCGAAGCAGGTCTACGTGGAAGACAGGATGGATCTTCCCCGGAACGTCAAGTTGATAAGAGTGGGAGTTGACCTGCCTCAAGACTTTGTACTTTTCCATGCAACCAGTCTAGCTTCTTGGAAGGTCGTGTTGTCTTCACGTTTCTAAGGTTCAAAAACACCCAGTCTCCCTCCTTGTATTGGGGCGCTGCTGTTCTTGTCTTGTTAGCTTGATGTTGCTGTTTCTCTTGTGTTATCGCGATCGCAGCTTGGGCCCACTCTGTTGCGTCTTGGAGTCTTTTAAGGAAGCCTTCTGCCAGTGCTTCGCCGTCTCTCTTTGGTCGGTCCTGAATAGTTCGATCCTCTACCAGCTGAATGGGTTCATTGTGATATCCGTGCATAAAATAGAAGGGGCTTAGGCCAGTAGATGAGGCCTCGCGATTGTTGATTGCTCCCATAACGATAGGTAAAAGTGCTAGCCAATTTTCTTGCGTGTAGGTGGCCCAGATTCGAATCATCTTCTCAATCTCTTGGTTCATTCGCTCTGTTGCACCATCGGTTTGCGGATGATAGGCAGTCGACAGGCGTTGCTCAACGCTGAGGAGTTTACAGAAATGCCTCCAAAGATCGCTGACGAATTGTGGTCCTCTATCGCTCGTAATTGCCGTTGGAATACCATGAATAGGGTAATGCCGTTCTAAAAGCCGTTGTGCTACTGCTTCTGCCGAGATATCGTGCATGCCTTCCAGTTCAACTCCCTTTGTCAGCCGATCAGTGACCACCATGCAGTTCGTTGCGTCATCGCGTCCAGATGGCGGCAAGTCCGTAATAAAATCGATTGAAAGTTCTCCCCATATACGTTCTGGGATCGGTAGCGGTTTAAGGAGGCCCTTCTTTGTCTCTCTCCATATCGTATTCCTCCCGCAAATCTCGCAGTTACGGACAAAGCGTCGCACGTCGCTTGCTACACCTGACCAGAAGAACTGCCTTGATAAGATTGAGTAGGTAAGATCTCGTCCAGGATGGCCGGTGATATGCGAGTCGTGAATATTTTGAATAATTCGTGTGCGAAGTGGTTCGCAGTCAGGGATCCATATCCGGTCTCGAAATCGCAACAGGCCTCTCTCGTCTAGGGTGCATTCTGCTATACTCACTGACTTCTCCTTCTGAAGTTTGGTAGGGAGGTTCCGCTCCTTGTTTGCTACCAGCGTAGTGAGCTCCTGATAAAGCTTATCCTCTTGGCGGCTTCGGTGCCAGAGATTTTGCATGTCCTGGTCCTCAAACATGCGTATCTCTTCTGTGAAGTCAATCTCCTCGGACGACAGGGACTGGATTTGAACACTCTGCAAGTGCTTGCTCTGGAAAAGACGGATAAATCGAGACCGTATTCGTTCATCGTCGTAGTTGGCGGGTAGGTCTTGTTCTCGTCGTGACAGGGCGTCAGGTTTTCCCATAGTCTTTCCAGGTTTCCATTCCAGGGAGAAGTCGAATCGTGAGAGAAACTCTGACCAACGTACTTGTCTTTCAGACAGCTGTCGTTCGCGGTAGAAGTATTGAAGGTTCTTGTGGTCCGTCAGAACTGTGAACTTCCTAACCATACGTAGTTCAGGAGCCCATGCTTCTAAGCAACGAACAATAGCTAGAAGCTCCTTGTCATGAATTGGATAATTGGCCTCTGTTGGTGAGTGCTTCTTTGAGTAGTAGGCAACGGGTTGCCAGTTGTTGTTCTTGTCCTTCTGCAGCAATAGGCCGCCAGTTGCATGTCCTGAGGAGTCGGCTTCTACCAAGGTGTCCTTCTCTGGATCAAAATGGCCGAGTATTGGTGCTGTAATGAGAAGTTCCTTAATCGTTTCAAATGCTTGATTGCAAGCCTCGTCCCAATGAAAAACCATCTCTTTCTTAGTTAGGTTGATAAGCGGTTCAGCAATGTCCGAGAAGTTTGGTATAAAAACTCGGTAAAAGTTGGCAAAACCAATAAATGCTCGGATAGCCTTAACTGACGTTGGTGTAGCCCATTCGCGGATTGCGATAATCTTTTCAGGATCAACTCGAATGCCCACTTCTGCTTCCACAATGTACCCGAGGTATTTGACTCGTTTAGTCTCGAACTCGCACTTGTCGATATCAATCTGCAGTCCAGCGTCTATAAGGCGTTGAAGAACCTTTCCAACCTTCTCTCTGTGATCCTGAAGCGATCCTGACGAGTAGATTAAGATGTCGTCAACGTAGGCTGAAACAAAGTCGTCAAGGTAATCCTGTAGAACACCATTTACGTAGCGTTGAAATGCGGCTGGTGCTCCTGTTAGTCCGAAGGGAGCAACCCGCCATTCGAATAGGCCGTATCTTGTTCGGAAAGCTGTCTTCCATTCTTCTCCTTTGGCCACACGGATCTTGTGGAAGGCTGCGATAACGTCAAGTTTTGTGAACCATTTAGCTTTAGCTACATTTCTCAGTGTTTCTGTGAATAGAGGCAGAGGGTAACGGTCCTTCCTGGTGATGTTGTTCAAGCCTCGGTAGTCAACGCAAAATCGGATGCCCCCTCCTGGCTTTTTGACCATCAGGACGGGTGCAGCTGCGGGAGAGTTACTTGCGCGGATAAAATCCTTGTCTAACAGCTCGGTGAGAGTTTTCCTAAGCACTAGTAACTCTTCTCGGCTCATGCCGTAGAGCGGACCCCATGGAATGGTCTTCTCGTTTCCGTCTTGATCCTTTTCAATCTCAATGTGGAGATCAACGCCTTTACGATGCGGGGGAAGTTTCTCAGCTAGGAAATGGTCGAAAGCCTTCAGCCATTGGTGGTACTGGGGTGGGAGCTTCGTCTTTGGATCGGATCGTTTGCGCGGTTTCAAAGCTTTCTCAATGTCGGCGATGGAAACAGCGAACAGTCCAGTGTCGAGCGCAATACCGTCTCCTTTGTTCTTCCTACGGCTTCTTCTCACCTCCGCCATGAATGCGGAAGCCATCACCTGAGTAGCCTTCATTAGTGGTGGCTTGTATGACGCTTTCTTGTGGTTCCATGCGCGGATGTTTGACGCGCCGATATCTAGGCAGCCTTGTTTGGCCGAAATTGTGACGTCGGCATCTTCTAACCAGGGCTTTCCTAGGATCACGTCGTAAGTTAGGCCAGGTACAACGTAGAAGAAGACGCGTTTCTGCTGGTGGCCGTCTATGTCTATCGAGGCGTAAGTAACTGTATCTAGGACAGTACTTGGTTCTGCGTTCTTCCCAGCTGCTTCCTCTAGCTGGCGCGGGGCTATCTTGATTGATGGCAGTCTCAGAGATCGAAAGAGTTGTTCATTAATGGCAGAATAGCAAAGGCAACCTGAGTCAACAAGTCCAGTGACAAAGTCAGTTCCATTAAGTCTAACGT